CCTAAAATGGAATAGACGACCTCGGATCATTAGGGTTTCGCAAACCCTAATCGAATATTTATGACAATATCTTCCGAAAATCTAAGGAAGAGGAGCATTTATTGTAACCCTAAATCCCTTGTATAAATAGAGAAGATGTCTCTATTCTAGGGCATCGATCATTTAATAACAAAAACCCTAGTTCCTCACTTGTTCTTGAGCAAACCCTAAATCGTTCATTTCTAGGTCAAGTCAATCCTTCTAATCCGTTTCAATTCGAGTTCTTGAGAGATTGTTAAAAGTGAATTTATTCTCCTTTCCTTAATAAATTCATTGTGTGAACCCTTGGTTCAACAGTCAACACTTTGTCTTGTTCTTCGTAGTCTTCGTCATCTTCGTCCTCTTGCAGATTAGGGTTTGGTTTTACTAGTTTGTTTATTTGTTGTTTTATACTATAGTTTTTAAATTTCAACAAATTTGGAATAAAACAGATGGGCCCAAATCCTTAAACATAAGGAAAAACCCAAATAAACAAATTTTTTTTCGATTGGCTAATTCTTAAAGGTGAGGATCACTCCTCATTTGATATCCACCGTTGATAACACTAAAACAAACGGACGAGTGTTGAACCAAGGGTTCACATAATGAATTTATTAAGGAAAGGAGAATAAATTCACTTTTAACAATCTCTCAAGAACTCGAATTGAAACGGATTAGAAGGATTGACTTGACCTAGAAATGAACGATTTAGGGTTTGCTCAAGAACAAGTGAGGAACTAGGGTTTTTGTTATTAAATGATCCATGCCCTAAAATAGAGACATCTTCTGTATTTATACAAGGGATTTAGGGTTACAATAAATGCTCCTCTTCCTTAGATTTTCGGAAGATATTGTCATAAATATTCGATTAGGGTTTGCGAAACCCTAATGATCCGAGGTCGTCTATTCCATTTTAGGAATGAAGCACCCTTTGCAATAATTGGACAATAAACCGGGATTCCCCGATTTATTGGTTCAATTCGATTCCGTCTTGGTTTAGGCCGGTATGTCGTTGGTGCTAATTCCTACACCAACAATAAGTCCCCCCCCAGTTCGATGGGTCGAATGTTCATTCGAATTATGGAACTTCTAATTATGCCTGACCTAAGCTAAGAGGGAAACGAATCAAATATATCCGAATCGCCGCCTATCTCGGAAATGTTGCCACGCGTCACTCATCTGTGGAGCGGCATATAGGTCGGAAGTCGAAGCGTCGCCTAGGTCATCATTATTTTTTCGTAGGTCTGTCTCCCGCTCGCTTCTATAAATACTTGCTCAATGCCTTTCATTTTCCTCATTTCCGCTTTTCTGCTCAAAAGGTAAAATTTCGCTCTGCCCTCTCTCCTCTTTTTCTTTTAACTTATCGCCGCCGACTTTAAATTCTCCGGTCATATTGTACTACTCCGACAATGTCGACATCGCACTCTTCGTCTGATAGTGAGGTCGCACCAATAGTTCGTTCTAACACTAGTTCGATGCGCCGTCCTAGAAATGAGGCTTCCTCATCTCGCCCCGTTCGGGCTTCCATTCCCGAGCTAACTGAAATTCCGATCCGAGATGGTAGGAATAACGCCGCAACCGCCATGGAAACCGGAGAGTCTTCTAATCCCGTTCGCTCAAGGGGCGAGGATCGCTTCGCCGCACCGGGCGTTTTCTTGAATGATATCCAGCCTACCCTCGACCACAGAGGTCAGATCGGTGGAATTCCGACCTCTAGTACTGTGAGCAGCATCAACGAGATGCTCGACGTTTGCGGATTGGGGAGATCCGGGGTCAGTATCCTGATTCCGCATGAGACTCAACGCCCGTGGACTTCTCCAAAGGGATACATCTGTCTGTACGAGATGTACTTCACCCGCTGCCGCCTGCGGTTTCCTCTGCCCGAGCTCCTGTCCCAATATACTCATCGCCGTAAACTGGCGATCTCTCAGCTCGCTCCGGCCAGCATTTGTAACATCGTTGAAATACTGACCCTAGCGTCTGAGGTCGGTACAAGGGTTCCCGTCATGTGCTTTGAGGAGATGACGGTATTGAAGAAATCCAGGGTCGCCGGCAATTTCACCGTGAACATGAGGGAGAAACAGAACGTCATTCCCGGAACCCGAGTCAGCAATTTCAAAGGCTGGGAAAAACGTTTCTTTCATGTCCGAGCTGACTACCTCTCACTCGAAAATCCTTTTGTTGGCTTACGCCGACGATGGAATAGTGATCCGGGTACTTAATCTACGTTTTTTCTTTGAATTCCTTTATCGTTCTGACCTGACTTCTCCTCTTTTGCGCAGATCGCATCCGAAACTTTTCTACGTTCCCAACGGAGTACTCCGGCATTGTGCCAAGCCTGTTTGGCGGGGAGAATCGAGCGTGGGACCAATTTAGCCGAAAGCGAGTTGAAGAAGCGATGGGAAGGATCCCGAGAAAGTATCCAAACTTCGCAGAGGAGCTGGCCAAATCATCAGGTACTTCGGTTACTGCCCTCCAGGCTCGGGATGCCGAGCTCGTGGCACCAACAACAACGGCTATGGAGGTCGCCGTAGTTGAATCGGCTTCCGGAGGAGAGGTCGCCCCTACTGAACCTTCGATCGTGGATCTGGAAGACGATGGTGGTGGTGAGGGCGAGGTTCCCGGGCAGGAGGTCGTAACTGCCGAACAAGAGGTCGCTCTGTCTGAAGGAGACACGGCCGGGAGGAAGAAAAAGAAGAAGAGAATCGACAAAGGCAAGGGCGTTGCTCTGGACTCTGGCAACCAGTCGAGCCGTAAGAGGTCGGCTGAAGCAGCTGACTTAGAGTCTTCTGATCCTTTCCGATTAACTCGGAAGGATTCGAATACAGACAATTTCTGCTTCGACTACTTCGGAGAAAGCTCCGTAGCTGGCGATCGTTATGCCTCGGCAGAATTATGCCGAAATTTAAAGTTTTCTTCGGAAATTCTGCCCGACCTCGACGAGCTGGAGTTCAAGGAGCATTATCTGAATTATACTCGATCCGCGTTGCAGGTTTGTCTATCGCTCCTTTATATCTGTCCTTTTGTATTTTGTGCATATTCT